AAAGCTGAAGACTGGCGAGATTGTCACTGGTGGTCCTTGGCCAAAGCAAGTCACGCGGCCACACCCACGGTCAAGGTCGTCATCCCGCCGGCCCCAGGGGGTGAGGGCTTATTTTCCTGTTTGTTTTCCACCCTCATGTATTCACACAGAATCTGTGTCCAAGGCCATCTCGCAAAGGATATTAGAAAATGGTGATCATGCTTGTGTCAGGGACCAAGGAGGGACACAGACCTACTTTTCACCCTATAGTGTTCTGCTCTTTGTCACCCTTTTCTCTGACAGCGCGTTACTCTTTAAATGCAAAGGGGGCGCCTCCCGGTGGCCAACGGGGATAGGCGCCGCTCTGTGAGGCTGCCCGAAGCCACTGCAGTGCAACTCTGATCCCCGCCAGGCAGTGACCCCCAGGGCCCAGCAGGCCTCTCCTGGCTCCCCGCTGCTCCCCTCAGCAGTGGGTTTCAGTCGGTCCACCTGTTCTGCTCCCCACTCAGTCTCTGGTGGCTCCCCTCGCCCGCACCTCTGGCCTGTACCCCAGTTCTTGTGTGCAAGAGCTTGTGCTGCCCCCAAGCCTACCCCAGGAGAAACACCAAGGGGAGGGCCAGGGCAGTAGGGTGGCCAGGGGACTGCAGTTGGACAACGGCCAGGGCCGTGGTGAGAGCTGCAGCAGGGGTGTGTAGGGACTCCCACCGGGTGGATCCGCCATCTAGAAAGACCAGCGGCGCAAACGGAAAAGGTTCCGTTGGGAACACAGAGACCTTGGACACAGTGTGCAAGATACAGAAACATTGGGGTGTTGGCCGGGACCCAAAACACAAGAATCTTGCCCCCAGATTTTTGTCAGGGCGGGGCAGGCAGTAAGCTCACTCAATGAGGACGGCCAAGCCCAACGACACGGTCAGTCCCACAGCCCGAACATCCACCTGGCGTTCCTCGAGCTTCCGCCAAGCGTCGACCCACCGGCTTCGGGCTGTAGCAGGGTCCAGGTGTGCGGTCAGGGTCTCCGAAGGGTCAGTCAGTCCGAGTTGGTCTGTAGGGCCAGGCGGGGCGTCCACTCATTGGGCCGGCCAGCGACTGCGCGTGGAGTTACCGGCCGGTGCAGGGAGCAGCGGAGTGCCGCCCCCTGGTGGGGCCTCGCCCGGGCAGTGCCAGGGTGCGCCCGCCTGGCGCGGGGAGGAACAAGCTCAAGGAACGAAAGCTCCTCCGCCTGTGGCAGCCACCGCTCCTCTGGGGGCGCATTCCTTGGCTCTGTGGCCGCAAGGCGTCTCCCTCTCCGGCTGCAGCGTCACCAGGCCAGCAAGTCGGTGCTGTCTGTGAGCCTGTCACCCAACTCGGGGTCAGATTTCGGGCTCCAGCAAGTAACGGAAGGGTCCCCCTTGGAGGGACAACTCCACGTGGTAGTCAGACACCTGACCCTCACCCTCTTTCCGCACGGCTTCCCGTGAGTCCTTGCACTGCTGTTCCCTAGCACTCAGTAGGTGTCTCCAAGGGGGACCCCAAGCAGAAGGTTGCCGCAGCAGAGGCTGGGGCGCCCTTGAACCCCTTCCTGAACAATAAAGAATGTTTGGGCTCTGATGGATGGCCACGGGCTCCTCCTAACCTGGGTGAAGCCTTACCTTAATTTTGTTAGTTTCATCTTCGGTCAGTGTTTACGTCACACCTGTTGTTTTCAAACGGCCCCATCCTGAGTTTCAAACTGAGCCCTTGTGGGTGCGGTCACCGGGGTCCCTCAGGCTGCTCCTTTGTCTCATTTCACCTTCAGGAGCGCTGAGTGGTGAGGATGACCACCTCTGTCTTAGAGATGGGGGAGGGGCTTTGCCCCAGGTTACTGGAAAAGGAAACGGCAAGACTAGGGTTTGAAGCCGGCTCCCGGCTCCACCCCACACCCCCACACATGTTCTAATCCTTTCGCCAGGATTACTCATTTAGGTTGGGTTTAGGGATCCCCTCCCACAGACCAGGAACCCAGGAACCCGGGGCCCAGAGGAGTTACTTGCCGGCTCAGGGTCCCACAGCCAGTAAAGGCCAGCGCTGGGATGCTCATCTGAGTTAGTGGCCAGCCCCTCAAGGCAGGCACCTGCTGGCAGGTCCAGAACCAATGTCCTGGGTCTTGAGGTCAAAACAATGGGGTACCCTGTACCCCACCTGGAGATTTCTGTTGGGTCTGGGCTGGGTAGCACTGAGGTCACAGCAGTAACGACTTGGCCCTGACACATGTCCCCCTTTAGGGGCTAATGGTCCAGTGGACTCTGGAGGAGACAGACGAGCCATCAAAACAGTGGTGACCCAGAATGGATCCAGCTGGAATGTACCTAGGAGCCTAGGAGGTTGTAGCAGCTTGGAAGGGACTTCTCATCCAGCCTGGGGGACCAGCGGGGACTTCCTGGAGAGGGAAGCATCTGCATTGCCCTGTAGAAAACAGGAGAGTAGAGGGCAAGTCGGCATCCTGTCGGAAAGCCGGCCGCGGCGCCAGTCTGGGCCCAGCCCACCGGCGAGCGGCGCCCTCTGCTGGAAACAGCCTGTAGTGCAGGGGGCTGGGGCCGCTCCCTTAGAGCCAAGGTTTGTAGATCTGGAATCTGGGAGCCCAGCTTGGGCCAATTGAGTTTTAAGGGTCGCTCAGGACATCCTTTGCTAACGTAACGTTACGTTAAAACATAATTGTAGGGGGCCCTCCCTGGTGGCGCAGCGGGCTAAAGCACAGCACTAAGAAGCCTAAGCCACTTCCGCATGAGCTCAATCCCCGCTTGCCCCTGAGGTGACCACATGGCGTGGCAGACCTCTCCTGACCCGCCCGCTGCTCCCCTCAGCAGTGGACTTCGTCGATCTGCCTGTTCTGCTCCCCGCTCTGTCTCTGGTGAATCCTCTCATCCTCCGCATCTCTGGCCTGCACCCCAGTTCTGTAAGGATAAATAAATAAATCTTAAAAAAAAGTAGTTGTAGGGGTGCATCATTAACAATCAACCTGTGTGGCCACTACGTTGAGTTCATTAAAAGTGCGATCCTGGCCCTCCCTGGTGGCGCAGTGGTTAAAGCACAGCACTGAGAAGCTAAAGCCACTTCCACAGTGTACTTCGTCCATCTGCCTGTTCTGCTCCCCACTCTGTCTCTGGTGAAGCCTCTCACCACCCCTGCACCTCTGTCCTGTACCCCAGTTCTGTATGTACAAATAAATCTTTAAAAAAAAATAAAAAGTGCGATCCTACCCTTCACATACAGTTGACCCGACTACTCAACGCTACTCCCTCTTCTGGTAAGCACCAATGGGCTTATAATGTAAAAGTTTATTTTTGTTGTATTTAGTTCATCCGTTGTTTATTTAATCTATGTACCGCCAATGTGTGGAAATCACATGGCGTTTGCTTTCTCTATCTGATTTCAAGCGGCACAACCCTCTCCTTGTCCATCCACATTGTTGTTGCAAGTGGCAGAATTTCACCTTTATGTATTGCTGAGAATCGACAAACATTTATTAAGCACCTCACCACTCTGCTCTATTGCTGATTCTAGCGGGGCAGAAAAAGACACCTATAACAGAATATCATATAATCAATAGTACCTCTTTATCCATCGTCCCATCAGCCACCTTCCAAAAATTCTACAAGGCATTTGGTGAGAAATGTACAGGCAAAGAGAGACCACATTCACATAACTTCTACTACAGAGTATTGTTATAATTATTCTATTGCTTGTTACCATTTTAATCTCCTAGTGTGCCTAAGTGTAAATTAAGCCTCATCGTTGTATATGTGTAGGAACACACAATCTATGAGGATCAGTATTGTCTGAAGTTTCCAGCATCTACTGGAAGCGCTGGAATTTACCCCCTGCAGATGGGGGTGGACTGCTGGACCGGGAGCTAAGGTAGCTAATATTCCTTAAATGCTTCTCACCCGCATTCAGTCTTCTCAGTCCTTAGCTATACCCATTTAAAGATTAGGGTAACTGGGGCCCAGAGCGGTTAAGTTACTTACCCAAGGCTTGCACAGCCCGTATGTGCTAATATCAAACTTGAACCCACAACCCAACTTGTAGCCATCACACTACGTTGCCGATAATGTGACAACAATGCAAAGTGTTACATAAAAGAAGTTCAGGCTCTGAAATGATTCCTGACCGAAATCAAGCACAGAGATGAGGCAATGTTTTGGTGGGAGGGTGTAATTAAGAAGGGGCCTATTAATTTGGAGGGAAGACCTCTCCGGGAGGCAGCACTTTGAAAGGGAGACCAACAAACTCGGGACGTGGGAGGACAGGTCCAAACAGGGTCACAGGCCAGGCGACCGGCACCGCAAGGAGGGCACCGGTCTGGGACCCGCAGGCCCCCAGTTTCCTCGATTCTCGCTGCGCCGAGACCCCGTTTCGCAGCCCGATGCTCCAGCGTCGCCCGCCGCCTCGACGCGCCCAGGGGCTGCCGCAGAGCCGCGGTGGGTCTCGCGGGGCTG